CGGTCGCCGCGCGGCCGGTCGCGGCGGTCTGGTCATCGAGGGCATCGGCGTCCGCCGGATCGAGCTCCTCCTCCTCCATGGCGTCCAGCAGCGGGAAGCGCAGAAGGCAGGCGGACCGGGGGGTGGAGGATGGCTGACCGGGGTGTGTGTGTGTGTTTCCTTTGGGTTGGGAGGAGTTTGTTTTGGAAATAGTGAAAGTTGGCAAGAAAAAAAGATTGCGGTGAGGGATGTGGTGGACAAAGGCGTGATGGGAGACGTTGGAATGGTGAGGCGGTTCTCAGAAGCCGAAAATGGGGCTGCAACGGCAACATCAGGACAATTACAGACCTTCACCTGGTTGTGCGAACTACTTTGGACCGAAAGACTGACATGGCAAATTTGCCATGATATAATGTTGGGGCTTGATGCTGTTGAGAGGAAAGAGGCTGGCATTGGTAACATCTGTCATAATTCGTGGCCGCTGCCCTCACCACCAGAAATCCAAAGTCAATGGTTCAGATTGGCTCAGCCCCGAGCTTGCCGGAGCAGGGCGCTTGAGCAAGCCAGTCTCCAGCTCATGAATGGTTTTCTCCATACGTCTGACCTTGGACGGCAGGCTCCGAACCTGGCAAGTCTAGGCTGAGAAGCCGTGAGCCATGAGGTCCCTATTAAGCAAAGCTACGACTCTCAGGCAGGTGTGCATGTCAACTCCAGTGGCCACCCCACGATATCGCAGGCATCCGCGGAGGAACTCGCTCACACCTGGGCCACAAAGTCAGGCTGCTGGCAGTGCCAAAAGAAAGAAAGTCACTGGGCCACTCGGAACACTGCACAAAAAAGGGTACCAAAAAGCACGATAGAGGAGCATTTGCCAATATCACACAGCTTGCACGTGACAGGCACACAAAAAATAACAAACTGCGTCAAATCATCAGGTTGCTGATGCTGCCATTGGCATCCGTATCCAAGAGCAGGATGAAACGCCGGGCCTTAGCTTCAGTGCACCTACTCCCATTGGTGCGTGGAATCGACCAAAGGCAGAAGGACTCCTATCCTACCCTCCAGCTGATGGCAAAAGCTAAACCTGCGTTCCCCAGCTTCGAGCAAGTCTGAAAGTCCTTGCCCTTTATCGGAAAGTCCGTAGGTTTTCAATCAGTAAGAATGGTCTGTGATAGAAGGACATTGGCTGATTACCTGGACAATGATTGGGGATGCCAAATCCTTTTGAAGACAACCATCACCCGATGAAAGTCTGAACTTCCCGTCCAACCATCCAAACCAAGGGGCGTCATCGATGTCGAATCCCAAGACCCGGAAGTATGCTGACAAGGCAGGGTCATCTAACATCTCCTGCACCGGGACCAGCGGGGTGAACAATTCAAGCAGGTGTCCAATGGGGCGAACATCAGGAAGGTGGGCCTCCCTAAAGAAAGTGCAAAGGGCGCGGTGTCCTTTCAAGGTTTGTGTAGAGCGAAATAAGAAAGGACATGAAAAAGAAGCAAACTCTACAAAGCGCCACCTCAGCAAAAACCGAGGATACCCTCTCCAGTTTGCAGGTGATTATATCTATATATATATATGTGAGAGAGAGAGAGAGAGAGATCTCTATATATGTCTCTCTCTCTCTCTCTGTGTCGCACCCCATTGGACATCAACATAATCATCGAGAGCCTCCAGAGGTTCTTAGGGTCCAAGTTTCTTCACAAGAGCGTCTCGTGCACAGTGGGTCTGACAGAAAAGCCGCCACCCATCGCCGCTCGTATTGACCCCAAACGTATGGACCGTATGGACCGCAGGACCGTTTCTGTCGTTCCACTGGCGAACGTGCTGCCTCCAAAACTCCGTTGGTCCGCTTCTAAGCTCCCAGCCCCGAGTTCTTCAGCTGTCACATCACCAGAGCCGTCCTCGCGTGCTGCGATCGCTGGACCAACACGGGTAGCATTGGCCTCGAAAATGGTAAAGGGGTCTGAGGACGAACCTGCATTGTCTACCAAACACCCAAACACCCTTGTGGAGTCCCATTTTCATACTCCAAGAATGCAGCTGTTTGCTCGGTGGGGTCTGGAAGTTGAACCTAGAGCTTCGGCTGCACTTCACCAGGTCTCCACAGACCTTGTTTGGGAAATGAGGGAGTCCATAGTTCAACTATGATAGACTTCAGGACCGCCAACCTCCAGTGCAATGCACCTTTGAGATCTATCCTATGGATATTGCTTACATCGTACTGAAGTCACATTGCAAGTTTGAACCTGCTTTCTTGAAGGCGGAGGCGCCCACACGCTTCTCCGCAGCAGAAGGTCCAAAGCAGTCCTGGTCCATCGCTCGAAAGAAATCAGTGATCTCCTGCACAAACTGCTCCTTCCTGAGTTCGGGCCCAGTGAAACAGAAGCCTCGTCCTGTCCCAGAATGCCCAGTGAAACACATCTCTCAACTTCTTGCATCAGTGTCTCTTGTCCATTTCCTTTTGAATCGCCTTAGGTGCAAACAGCCCAGCTCTAGCACCCCAATGGAAACACCTAATGTAGACTCGTGAGGAATAACCCCCCATTTGAATTGAAAAACCTCTTTCATATGGGGTGGTTTTTTAATCAAGACTCTACATTAGGGCACGGGGCGTAGGACTCTACATGAATTTCAGAATGTTTCGATCTCAACTGGATGTCAGTGAAGCCTCGTCGATCTTCTGCGTCCAAGTCACGAGGCTTCGTTGCTTTTCCGCGCAGCGGAAGGCGTTGTCCACGAACACCCCCGTAACGACCTAAGCAAGTGAAGTTTTTGGCAGCAGCAGCCGCCGATGCACGCAGCCCAAATGCGGCGCGCACCACAAGAGCCCACAAAACAGCGTCAGCCGCAGCACCACCCAGGCAACCAAGAGAGAGAGTTGGTTAACCGTCCTTAATTAGCTCTGGATCACCCAAACAGAAACACTCACGGAGACGGTGGGACGCAAGAGCCAGGGGATCGTCCAAATTAACCACTGTTTGAACAGGACCCGCAGACCAAGACCAAAGCCCGACACAAGAGCAGCCACACGACTTGAACCAGGCTTGCAGCGTACCAAGTGCGCTGTCAACCCAAAGAAGACCTTTGGCGCGAAGCTTGGAAACCATCGTAAGAAGACGAGACCCAATGGGGCAGAGAGGATGCGAAGCACAAACAATAACAATGGCCCGTAAAAACCGGTTGGCAGCCATCATGACACCTTGG